ACGGCACCAATAGGATCCATATGGCATTATTAGGATCCATACGGCATCAATAAAGACTTTTCCCTCAGAGTCAGAATGATTGACAGCCCGTCAGGCTTTCATATGATGCAACCTTTAACTGGTCAAACGGTCAGAAACAAACTAAAGGATCATCTCTAATGAACAGTTGATCTGAAGAACCCTTTTTAAACTTTCTGTTAAACTTTTCTTCTATTTCTGCTGATGATGTTTATTTTAATTAAAGGAAGACGATCAGTAAATTTATCACCAATAACCGAATTTTACTGAACTAAAAACTGGAATTATAGTTTAATCAAACTTTGTCAAGATTTGTGTTCGGCGCCCAGATGTTGCTGTAAACCAATAGAAAATCATAAAAATAGAAAGAGTAAAGCCTCGTTGATGAAATGCATGTCGCCCGCAGCCTGACGTGTCAGAGTTCAACATGAAAATCATGGTGAACTAAGATGACAGATGAAATGAAGCGACAGCTGCTTGAGCTGTTTTTGGTTCTTCCATGAAAATAAGATGATGCACAATGTGTTAGTGCTCAGAGTGCATGTGATGAGGGACTCTCAGCTACTACCACTCCATGTTTGAGCTCAACATCTGTAAAACTAAGGTAAAAAAGCAGTTTTGTGTTTTCTAAAGGTGATCAGCGGCGGCGGACATCTCTGAAGGTTTTTCAGGTGTAGATACTTTCTGGGAGTTTCTTTAAAACACGTTCACTGGTTTATGAGATATTTTAACTAATGAAACATAATCGCTCTGTTGTCATCAATGTATTGATCAGCACTTCCAAGTGATCAATACATCCCTGTAGGATGGGGTGAATAATCAGAGTTTCAAAGCCCTTCAAAAGAAGCTGTAACATTCTTCACTGATTAGTTTTATTGCTGCTCTGACTGCGAGTGGATCAGGCGGCGCCGCTCTGCAGTTTCCTCCTAAAATAAAGTATTACCGTGAATCATCGGGACTCCTGCTGCAGTTTCTGCTCGCAGGTTTGATGCTGATGAGTGGAAACTGTTCCTGACGCTGAGTCCTGACCCTGAATACCAAACAGTTTTTAACTGTCTGAGCTCAGAGAATCTGCAACATTGGGTTTCTGAGGCCGTCTGTCACAGCAGATGGACCACTTCCAGCCTTCTAATGAATGAATCATTTATTTAACCGTCCCTACAATGTGAGCACAACTTCACTTTTCAGACGTCGTTGGGGTATTTTTATTCGTCTAAAGTCACATGGCTGCTGATTTTCTGCTTCTTCTAAGATTCTGTGAAAATAGGAAGCCATTTGTTCATTTGGCAATAAAACAACCAGGGCTTAATTTGAGCCGGATCCTCCAGAACAGGATCTGAGAATGCTCTTATTTTGTCAAGGTGCATTCCGGTAACTGTTGGCTTGGATCCGGTAACTCTCAGGTTTACTACTAATAACGTTATGAACAAATTTGACTGCTTTGAACGAATAAAACCTAGACATGTAATCTGGAAACAATTACATAAACACTCATTTTAAACACAACAGCCACTTATGAACCTCCTAACATCACATCAAGGCTGGCAGATTGTCCAGTTTTAAGACTGGGCTTGAGAGGTTCATTTTTGATAAATCCCATAGTTGGGCTTGTCATGCTGCCTTAAGCTTAGACTACTGGAGGACAAATTGACCTCATGTTGTGTTGTGTTAGTGCACTGAAACTGAATTGCTATTGCAGAAGAAGGACACCAGTGGGCGGTCTAAGACTATGTTTAAAATATGCTGTACAGGGAGTGACAGAGAGAAACGAAAGCGAAAGTAAAGTGAGGACTGAAGCTAATTCACGTATCTGCTTATTTTTCCTTGAATTCAGTCTTGCAACCCACAACACCTCATTTCTTTAAATGAATTGTTATAATTAAATAGATTTTATTTGATACTATTTCTATCTTAACATGTGATTCTTGACCTGCCATTGTGTATCTGTTCTTACCAAACCCAGCCGGTCGAAGCAGATGGTCCTCTTGTCCTGATCCTGGTTCTGCTAAAGGTTTTTTCCTCATGAGGGAGTTTTTCTTTCCACTGTCGCCTTCATGCTTGTTCAAGATGAGAGTTCAGTGATGGAGTTAAACTCAAAGCTGCTCCTCAGATAAATAATGTTCAATTATTATTTTATAGATGAATGTTTCTGTTCAGTGCCGTGAGATGACTTCTGTTGTGACTTGATGCTATATAAATAAACTGAACTGAACTGACATCAAAGCTGCACCTTCAAGTAAGCATTTCTACTTCAGTCCTTAAAAAAATCCCTTCCCCTAAAAGCACAGCCATGTGCAATTTAATTAAAAACACAAAAATATAATTAAACGGCACAAATAAACTTTAAGACATGCTTGTAGTCTAAGTAACTGATTGGATTAATTGGGTTTCATGGACAAATATAACTGTCATCAGCATAACAATGAAAATGTATCCCATGCTGTTTAATAACTTTACCTAATGGAAGCATATATAAAGAAAAGAGTATTGGTCCAAGCACTGAGCCCTGAGGAACTCCATGATTAATTATGGTATATGAAGAAGATTTATTTACATTTACAAACTGGAATCTATCAGATAAATAAGAGTTAAACCATTTTAGAGCTGTTTCTGTAATCCCAATATCATATTCAAGCCTCTGTAGTAAAATATTGTGATTAACTGAATCAGTGTAGTCAGTTTGTAGCTTTTAGCCATTATTTGGTTAATTTGAGCATTTCTTTGACGTTTTGTTAATTTAATTGTTTCACTATGGTTTTACTAATGTTAGCTGTTTGCTATGGTTTGGTTGAGATTAGCTTTGACTTTGCTCCCCTTAGCTTTAGTTACTGTTTTTTTTTTTTATTTTAACTACCGTTTAACAGGTTTTAGCTTTTGATCATGTTGCTACTGTTTTGCTGCTTTTCAAGGTCAGTGTGTCTTTATTGTCATTCACATCACATGTGGTACATGAAGTGGAACGAAACTATGTGCACAGGTTCCAGTTACATCCAACAAAAATACACATTTTAAAGAAAAACAGTAATAAGATCTAAGATATGAACTAAGAAATACACTAAACTAAGAATGCACTAAGCACTTAGTACAACACAATGCACCAAACAGCAGCGTGAACATGAGTCTGTGTGACAGTGCCCTGCTACTATTCTGCTAATTTAAACTTTTAGCTGCTGTGCTGTTTTAGCTGGTGTTCATATCTAATGAGCGCAGCTGAGATTTATATCTTTAAACACAACATTTTGTACCGTTTGAACCTTTCTCCTTCCTGCTGTTTTGCTTCTGCGTGGCTCGCTGGCTGTTTGGACAGGAGGCCTTTTCCCCACCGGTTCCCACGAGTATGAGGTGTTCCGTTTCGCCCTGGCCCAGCATCAGGACGTCCCCAAACTGGTGCCGCAGGTGGACATGGTGGACACTGGGAGCAGCTTCGCCATGACCTACGCCTGTAAGTAAAACATAAAGTGACAACTCTGAGGGTTATGGATCATCTCAGAGGGTTTTCTTCAGGTATTGACCTTTGTATTTGTTGTTTAGCATTTAAAACGTTAAACACTTGTGTTGCGGTAGTTCTGGTGAACAGATTTGTTTGGGTTTGGTCTCAGATGAGCTCTAAGAAGTCACAGCGTGCGACCCTCAGCAGGTAAATGCAGGACGACCACGACCCAAAAAGGAAGAAGCGGGTAAAGATAATGGATGGATGGATTTTGCTTAACTGTGAATGCTAGGAAACACCTTGTAGCTGCTACTTTCCTATCAGCCATTGATTATGATGATATTTACATGAATGCCCTGCCAGCTCCTTACAGATCCTGGATGATGTCTACCATGGCGCGTTAAGGTTCATAAGGTTCATTTGGGGGCCGAGATGGGGTAGAGGTAGGGCAGCCGATCTGGGACTCAAAAGTCCCAGGTTCGATCCCCAGACATTCCCACATGTCATGGTGTCTCTGAGCAAGTCACCCAATCCCCAGTTGCTCCCCAGGTGCTTACATAGCTGCCCACTGCTCCACCTGGGTGCATCACAGGTGTGATAAATGCAGTGAACTAATTTCATCATTGTACGGGAACATACAGTGATGACAACACAAAGCACTTATTAGATTTATAAGTAGTTGTAACATCGTACCCATCACTGCACCCTGTACTCCTTGGTCAGGTCATCATTATCCACTGGTTCATCTTCATCTATAAATCACTCCTTGGTCTGCTAAGTTCTTGTATCTCCTCTGACATGTCACGCCATCAGTGCAGCTACAGCGTGCACACTCAGGACATCATTACCTGCAGCGTCCCCTCAGTGCAGACAACTTGACAAAAAAGCATTTTCTTGGGCTGCTCCTCGAACCAGGAACACCTTGCAACAAGATCTGAAGCTGTCCACCTTGATGTCTTAAACAGATTATTCATAAGTTCATTAGAAAAATCAAAGCAAACATGTTTTTAGAATTTTAGTATTTTATCTTGTTTTATAAGGCACCTTGATCTGATTTTGTTTTATAACAGTACATTTTTATTTGTTGTGTGCACCTTCTGTGGTTTTGTCTAAAACAGGTCTGTCTTGAAAATGAGTCCTCGTGACTCAGTGAGACTAGGCTGTAGAAATAAACACCAAAGTTCATGCTCAATAATCCAGGTAAAAATCCAACAGTATATATATATTTCTATATTTATGTCTAAATAAAGATGGTATGAAAAACAAAAAACAGAAGCACAGCAGAGGAAATGATGGACTTGTCAGCAGGACTCGAACACCTGAATGAATGTGGCGTCACGTTTTGACTGCTGCTCCTATAGAGTCAGCTCAGCCCGACTGAAAGTGAGTTTTAGCTCTTCTCACCTTCAGCTGTGTTTGTATGTAGAGTTCTGTGAGGGCTGACAAATGTGGCACTTTTTACACAAACTGAGGTGTGTTTTATTCATCAGGCACCAGCACACATTTCCAAAATAACACATTTCCCTCCTAACTGCTGTTAATTATCTGACTATCTGCTCCCTCCAGATGTAAATTCTGCTGCTGGAAGCATTTCGGCTGATGTTTCTGTGTGTAGCTGCACGCTGTCAGCCGAGGTTCTCCTTGTAAATTCATAGTGTGGTGGTTGTGGCAGCGGACTGTTGCTGCAGGAGGCTGTTCCATCCTTTCTGAGGAGTCAGTCAAAACTGGACCTGCAGCTGAACCCTCACCTGCAGAAGCTGCAGGAGGTACCAACACCGCTTCACCGAAGAATCACGTTTAGCTCATCTGTCCTGAAAAAGTAGATGAAAGTTTTCAGGGTTTATACCTTGCTTAACACAAAGTTACTTCTAACTTCTCTTCTTCTAAGTTCTCCTTAGATAGAGAACTTTACTAAATGTCTTTTATGTGAATGTTCCTGTAAAGTCCCTGGGACAACTTTGTTGTGATTTGGCGCTTTATAAATAAACTGAATTGAAATTAATTGAATTTATCAATGATTATTATTGATGCACAAACTAGACTCATGATTAATCCTCATTTTATTAATTATTTTGTAGATATTTGAACAAAGCATCACATTTAATGAAACATTTCATCTTTCAGTGTAATTTTCTCCTCCCTGCATGCACTGACTCAGCCTTATTTTATATATATATATATA